ACTAGTTTGAACAAAAAGTTTTGTTGATCTAGTTGGAATTAGGAAAATTATTTTAAATAAGGGGTTTAAATAATCTCCCCTTTTCTTATTTTCTAAAAATAATCTCAATTTTTATTGTCATGGAAAATAATCTAACATTTCTTTTATCTGTGAGTTTTGAGTCGCCGTCAAGAAATTAACAGTCACTCAATAGATCTTTTAGAAAATGTCTATTTTCCGCAAATAAATGAACGGTGAAATTATTTTAGGTAAATATTCTTTTTAAATTTTTTAAAAATGTTAAATTTATGTTTATAAAAATATAACAATACAATCTTGTTAAAGATTTAATTCACTTTTTTAGAAAAATGTAATGATTCAAAATTTTATATTTCTGTTTTATGGATATATAATAGTATTCCGAAAAATAAATTCCAGTATCGTTCATGATGGTGTAAAATCGTGCAAATATTAAGTAAAAATAAGTGAAAGGATTGTAGGTGAAAACACATGTAACCCAATTTGTTATTGATGATAATAGGACCTTTTACAAATTACAAACCTACAAGCCATGCGGATTAATTAAAACATGTCTTCCTAATAAGGCTTTTAACCGTATTTATAATAATGAATAAGCACGTCAAACACGTCTCGACGTTACTATTCTTCCAGCCGATCAGTCTCCAACCGGTCAGCACACATGTCTTTGTCAGACGAAGCCATGTTCTTGATTCCGAATCTTCTCATATCTGACCGGTCAGACAGCTCGGGTTGACCAAGTCATATGGCGTCACATTTAGGTACCTCCCGGTCAGTTGCGAACCTACCGGGTGGAATCAATGAGTTAATACCCACCAGCTCGATAAAGAAATTGCAATACAAGAAAGTTGGAGTGAGTTATAAAAACAATTATTGCCTTTTTGGAGAAAAAATTATTGTGCCGTTTTCACAACTTTTGAATTGTTATTTTAGGTGGAAATTTTGTACTGAAATATTAAAAAGGAAAAATTGATATAAATACTCCCAGAAATTTGAAATTTTACAATAATACTCTCAAATTTAATAAAAGACTCTAGTGCTCCCAATTAAACTATAAGTTTACATTGTTACTCCCACTATTCCTAATCAGCTTTTTTTATGCTTTCATGTAAGTAATTATGCGTAGTTGACATATTAGTTGTTCTTTTTGTTTTAATAAGAGAAAAAAATTGTATAAATACTCTCTGAAATTCAAAATTTTACAATAATCTCTCAAAACCAAATAAAGATTCCAGTACTCTAAAAAATATCTTTCTTTTACGTGTTATGATGTTTAATAAAAGTGGTGTGAAATCAAAAAATAAAATTATATATCTAAAAACTACATTATAAGATCTATAAAACTAGTAATGATATAATTATATTATTTTATCAAATACATAATTAAAATAAATAAGCAAAGTAAATAAAATTTGATCTTGTTATTACTCTTGATAGTGAATGAAAAGATAATTTTTGGACAGAGGGATATTTTTTTTTAAAATATAAAAAACTACTTAAGATGCCAATTAAGCTCAATTAATTAATCTTTAATATTACTAAAAAAATTATTTTTACATATTACTATATTAGTTTTTAATATGTAATTTTTATTTTTTAATTTCACACCATTTTTCATATAAAATACTTTAAAAATAATTTCAGTCAAATATAGTAACGTGCAACGAGAATATACTTTTAGGAGAATTGGAGTCTTTATTTGATTTTGGGAGAATTATTGTCAAATTTTGAATTTCTATGAGTATTTATATAATTTTTTCCTCTTATTAAAACAAAAAACAACAACTAAGATGTCAACTAAGCATAATTACTTACATGTAAGCATAAGAAAAACTGATTAGAGATAGTGAGAGTAGTAATGTAAACTTATAGTTTAATTGGGAGCACCAGAGTCTTTTATTGAATTTGGGAGTATTATTGTAAAATTTCAAATTTCAGGGAGTATTTATATCAATTTTTCTTATTAAAAATATCACAAGTGTTGTAGTGCGATTTTAAAAAAAATAATACGAGTAGTTGAAAATCGATAAACATTTTCAAGTATTGCTAATGAAAAAAATTGCAATAATATGTACTGAGGTATAAAAGTAATAGTTCCATGACAGAGAAAAACTTATTGTGTCATTTTCAGAGTTTTGTATTGTTGTTTTACAAAAAGAATTTGTACTGGATTATAAAAAATCACATGTTTTATAGTGCCATCTTTGAAAACACTAATAATAGTGTATTATAAAAATAAATAATTCAAATTGTCACTTAAGAAAATAAATACAACCTGGAAAAAAGACTAGACTAGGAGTAAGACATATAAAAAGTATTAAAATATGAGCTACATATGCTTTTCCTAAAATATGAGTTACAATGTCAATATATAGTACCAAAAATATAATAAGATGCCTCACTATACAGTGTCATAAAACCATGGTGCAACCTTCTATTTTGGTAATGAAAACATAAAAGTTATATTTTGAAGATAAATGTTATGTTTTACTCCTAATAGAGATTATTTCTTCTACAAATTATAAAAAAACGTATTGAGTTATGGAGTAAATAAATAGTTCGTTCCATTTTGTATAATAACTTATTGTGCAATTTCAAAACTTTGTAATATTACTTTGGAAAATTAAATATTATTAGATTATCAATTGCCAAAAAAATAATTAGTGTTACTCTCACGAAATAATTAAATTTGGGAGTAAATTCCATAATGGATCTTTTCTAAAAGGAGGGTTTTCCTATGGAATTGAATCCCATTGAATTTCAATTCCAATTCAATTCCAATTCCACCAATTCCTTATACCAAACGGACCCTAAGAGATTTTGAGGGAGAGTGTTAAGAGCAGCTCCAACGGAGCTTTCAAAATGTAGTAAAGTGTAAAATATAGAAAGAATAGCTTTTACTGTTTATTATTTGCTCCTCCAACGGAGCTTCCAAAAGATACACCATAGTTTATTTTAAATGTTTCATAATCTATATTTGAAAGACGACTGTAGCATAGTTTATATTTCACCCTCGCCTGCAATCACGGCTGCGAGCTGATTTCCGCCGGAAGCTAGCCTTTCTACCTCGCTTTTAATAGTCGCTGCCGGATCTGCAGCTCGAAGATCTCAAATCGATTCAATTTTGTTTTATTTTTTCTGGATTTTGCAGTTTTGTTCTCATAATCACAGCTCGAAGATCTCAAAAAGGCATTTCTACCTGGCCTCTTTATGGACTGAAATGTTGGAGATTTTATGGTTTCTTTTTTTTGCGAGGGGGTGCAGTGGGAATTTGATGTTTCTTTTGAAATTAATTAATTTAAATGATAAAATATTTTAAAAATGTAAAAAATAGATGACATGGTTGGAGAGGAAGTGAAAAAATGGGTGTCTAAATTACTGTGGGGAAGCTAAAGAAGCATGTAGCTTCCCAAAATTTAGCTTCTCCCTTGGAGTTGCTCTAAGACACTTTTCTCCAAACTTTACTACTTACCAGTTACCATTTTGTACGAAAAATGGACGACTTCATCGAGTTCGATCAATGATTTGTTATTAAGTCATTCAAAAAATCTAAATGACGTCAAAGTCAAATATATTACTCCCTTTATTTTAAATTAAGTCATATTTTTATTATTTACAAAGTCAAAATTCATTTACTTTCTTTCTTTATTTTCGTTATTTATTTGTTAAAGTTATATAATAATGTCACATCGTATTTTGTAGACTTCTTTATTTAGTTTTTAATATGTAAATTTATATTTTTATTTTTGTCCCAGTTTTCTCATAACTTACATTGAAAACAAGTTCAATCAAATATTGTAAATCAAAGTAGACGATATAAATTGGGCCGAAGTGAATACTTTAGATGCAATGTTAATTTACTTCGAGTATTTCTTATGGCTTGTTGTTCTCTTCACATTGTTTGAATGATTCTGATATGATTGGAATAAATTCTGATTCGAATATAGTTATACTCAAAGCTGTTTATGATGTAATTTGAATTGACTCCAATAAGAATAAGTAATACGAAGTAAGTAATAAGAATAAGTTGAATAAATACACTTTTAGGCCCTGTTTTTTTATGTTAGAATTGCAAAGTTGGATGTTAAGGAAATTAGTAAGAGTTGGAAGAAATTGGAAAAAGTTAAAAAAACATGAAGGAGCTGGAAAATATTAGAAAAATTAAAGTGTTAAAGTCACTCAATTAAATGACCACTCAAACAAATATGTAAGAAAAATAATTTAGATATAAAAAATAATTCATTCTTATATGTGTTTGAAGTGATATGTTATGAATTTGGACATATAACGTTATTGTATAATCATCATATACAAATATTTTTCTTTAAGTCATTATTAAAAGAAATTATAAGAAACAAGAAGATATATGAAGAAGCTGAAAAGAGTTGGAAAGAATTAAAAATTAGTTTTTCCAACCCAAAAGAACAAGCAACTTAATATGTTATGTCAAATGTCAATCAATATAAATTATGCAAGAAGTTGAGTCGCTTGAATTTTTATTTTCCAAAAATCTTATTTGATTACTCTTTAGGCCGGATCTGATTATAATAAGAATTATTATTTTTTCGTCCTAAAACAATCTTCTCGTTTCTGTTTACGAGACTCTACCGACTTTATTTTCAATTCAATTTATTTGATTGTAGGTATAACTTTAAAAAATAAAATTTATATATTTAAAAACTATATAAAAAATTATACAAACCGTTAGACGACAAACCTATATTATTTTATCAAATAACTTACAAAAATAGGTAAAAAAATGATTAAAATTTGACCATATAAATAATACGGAGTAAGAAGTAACTAGGAAGAAAATGTTTTAGGACAGGAGATTGAGGGTGTGTTTGGGAATAGCGTTAGAGATTAGCGTTAGCATTTTGAAAAGGCTATCTACGACCAGCGTTTAGCGTTAGCGTTTTCAAAGTAATCTGCACCGTTAAAATCTTATCCAAAACGCTAAATCTAATTTCTAAAGGTATTCCCAAATAAACAGGCCGTGAGAGTAATAAATCCAAAAAACTAAATTGAACGCTTACTTGAAACAAACTTCCATATTCTATAAAATTCAATCGTTTACCTTATTCACAACCCCACGGAGGAGCGAGAGAGAAGGCGGATCAAATTTTGCTTCATTGTCGCGCAGGTATGCAAATTGACCATTTCTCATTTCATCGATGAAAGTTCAGTGGAGATTTAATTGCAGAACGGAATCTCTTATTGCTTGCAATCAATTTCCTGCACCCCGGTTTGTTTGTACAGGTTCATCAAAGAAATGGCGAGGAAGATGTTAATCGACGGAGAGATTGATAACCCGAGCGAGGAAGAACGTCACTATGATTTCGATTTGTTTGTCATTGGGGCAGGGAGCGGCGGCGTTCGCGCCTCCCGATTTTCAGCTCAATATGGAGCTAAGGTAAACTGTAAATACGAGGTGAAATCGTTTGGGAGCAGAGCTTGTGGTTAGTGTTAGAAACTTAGTATTAAATTTGATAAAGCTACGGTCCGATGAGATTTCCAAAATGCTTAAGCTAAACTCTAAAGCTAATGCCAAATGGAGCCTTAATCTATGGTGTGTTATAGTTAAAAAAGCTTGATGTTCATAGTCTTCATATATTTCTTACATATATTTGTCAGAATGGTAAAATTAATAATTATAGTTATTCCCTCCATACCTAAATAAGTTCCACCTTTACCATTTACAATATCAAATTATATCTTTCTTACTTATTCACATTAATCCTTTGTTATAATAAAATCACATCATGTTTTATAAAACTTTTTATGTAGTTTATATATATATAATTTAAAAATTGAAATGAAAATAACTCCTCTTAAACATCATAAACCAAAAACCAGAGTTTATTTGGGAACTGTCTTTTGAAGAAAAATGACATGCGTTCTCTTTCTCTTATTTGTGGTTAATGATGGCTGGCCAATACCAGAAGCATAGTAGTATATAGTGTATACATTTTGCTTCTTTTACAAAATTGTCTTGGAGAAAATGACTGCAATTAAATTTTAAACCGTGGAGAAAATTGAATTTGCTGGTGTCTTGTGCATCCAAATTTCATAAGTTAAAAACTTATGCGATTTAGGATACTGGGTGAACGGAAATGCTATTCATGGTTGCCTACTTTGATTTTGTTTTCAACATCATACTTTCATAGTTTAGTGCTACCATGGTGGGTGTATGTTAACCTAAATATAGCATGTGGAAGCATTTTCTTAGCTCTTGTTAATGGTGCCAAGAGAAACATTGAAGACCAAAACTGAAAACTTAACACTCCAGTTGATGGTTATTTGTAGTATGATAATATTCTTGCATGCGTGACATCTATGGGTGAGTCCCCCACAGTTTTTTTTGGGAAGGGAGGGTGGGGGACTAGCAAGGACTGTTAGAAGTAGCTATTTTAGCTTTGGCACATTTTAATGGGAAATGGATTCCTGTCCTATAAGCACAATTATTTTTATTTACGTGTCAAGACTTGGAATCTATTTTGACATCCACTTATTAAATTTTTTTAATGGGATTTGAAGGTGGGAATATGTGAGCTTCCATTTCATCCTATCAGCTCTGAAGTTAGTGGAGGAGTTGGTGGAACGTAAGCCTCTTAATCTTTATATTCTATAAGATACTTTAAGTACAGTTAAAAAAAACTCCTGATAAATAATGAGTTTCTAGCAATCTAGCCTTCTAAGTAATCCAACAACAACAACCCAGTTAAATCCCACAAGAGTAGGGTCTCGGGAGGGTGTGTGTACGCAAACCTTACCCTTACTCGAAAGTAGAGAGGTTGTTTCCAAATAGACCCCCGGCTCAACGTCGAAAGTTGCATTGCTTGACTAACTGCTACTTCATTAATTAAAGAAGCGCAGACAGTTTAGAGATCCATTTTGATTTATTCCATCACACCCCAAAGCCAAAAAATGGTGAAATTTTGGCTCCATCGGAGATGATGGAAATAATGTTTTTTTCTTATATATACGTGTATTGGGTGAAGGAAGAATGTTTTTTTTCTTATATATACGTGTATCTGTTTAAATTAGGTGTGTGATTCGTGGGTGTGTTCCTAAAAAGATTTTGGTCTATGGAGCTTCCTTTGGGCCTGAACTTGAGGTAATACCTGAACCCTTATATTAAAAACATGGATTTACTTGTTAAAATTACATGTTTTTTTGCTACCATTGGTTTATTAGTTTTGGAGACTTAATTGTTTGAATATTTATGGCGAAGTGGACTTTTAACAAATAAATTTATCATGTACATTGGGACTTGCATTATGCATAAGCTATGATCTCTGATACCAGAACCAGGACTAGAACTAGATACATGCCTATTGAAACGTCCCAAATCTGCTTATTGAAATGTCCCATACCTGCTTATTGGAACGGCCCATACCTGCTGATTGGAACGGCCCATACCTGCTTATTGGAACAGCCCATACCTGCTTATTGGAACGGCCCATACCTGTTTATTGAAATGTCCCAAAGTCTACCGAAGAATTGACATTTCAATTGATACTTGAGTTCCCACAAACTTAGGCTAGTGTATGATAGATCTGATTTTATGTATTCAGAATCTCACTTATAGATCCCTTGGTTAATATATGAACTATCCTCTTCATATGGGTTTGTACTAGTTGTCTTAATACCGACCGTCCAGTTTTTTTCTTAGTTATCATGGAACTGGAATGTCATCAAAGCATCATGCACATACTTTGCTTATAAAGTGATGATAGTTTCTTGATGGCTTTGGCTCATAGGATGCAAGGAGTTATGGATGGGAGGTGAATGATAGGCTTAATTTGAATTGGAAGAAACTTCTGCATAAGAAGGTCAGTGCAAATTCACGCCTACTGATTCTACTCATTTGTTTGATATAGGACAGAAGTTATTACTTTCTGCATTTCTCTCATTTCAACAGAAGGTTTTTATTTTCTACCTTTTTTAGAAAGTTAGGTGTATTAATGGGCCTGAATAAAATGGAAAACTGTGTTTTATCTGGTGTGGTTCTATATTTTTTTAATGTAATGCATAATCTCTGTGGTTGGGAATAAAACTGTAGAAACCAGGGACAATTAGTCCAAAAGAGAGATCTCTTCTCAATTGTTTTTATTGCATCCATGTGCAGACTGAGGAAATTGTTAGATTAAATGGAATTTACAAGCGCCTTCTTTCCAATGCGGGAGTTAAACTCTTTGAAGGAGAAGGAAGGATAATCAGTCCAAATGAAGTCGAGGTAATACAACTGGATGGGACAAAAATTAGCTATTCAGCCAAGCACATTCTAGTTGCCACAGGAAGCAAGGCTCAGCGTCCAGCAATCCCTGGGCAGGTACACTTGTTTTTCCTGCATCCTGGTGCTCTAATGTGCCAATGATTCAATGCAGTTGACCTGTCAACAACTCTTCCATTTTTTAAAACTTGTAGTTTTTGCCAATATATCTATTGGCTTCTTTATGTCTTTGTTGTGTGGGTGCTCGCCTTCTCCCATCGCTGATTGTAATGAAGTGCTTGTTTTATTCCATTCTTTTACATCGGTTCACTTTGTGCGAATGTGTCTGTGTTTGATGTGCTTTCATTTATAAATTATGTGATTGTTGTGGGCATATAGGAACTTGCCATTACCTCAGATGAGGCCTTGAGCTTAGAAGATCTACCAAGACGAGCCGTGATACTTGGAGGAGGGTATCTACATCTTCACCTATTTTCACATTGTTTAACTAAGTTTCTTTTCACTACAATTGACATTTTTATTATGGCTCAAGGTATATTGCTGTTGAGTTTGCTTCTATATGGCGTGGTATGGGTGCCACTGTAGATCTATGCTTCCGCAAGGAACTCCCATTGAGGTAAAATAAAAGGATATCTAGAACTCGTAGCCTTTCATTTTATGTACAGTGGCACTTGGTCTGAATCTCCTTCCCAAAGGATAACTGTACACTCTAAGTTGATTTCAGTCATTTTATGGATCTGTTAAGATGAAAAAAATAATCACAATCTCAGACCAATGCTTGCATTTTGATTGTGAAAAAAACAATCATCGTAAGAGCAAGCCCCCTTGGTCGAATGGATGCACCTAGGTTTGATCCCCAGTGGAAGCAAGGGGAAGAGATTATTTAGAATTTTAGGGATTTTTAAAGGGAATAGTTTGGGCCCAAAAATGGAGGGTTTATGTGGGCTTTGTGATCAAGGAGATTAACATGCCTCAACTCCAGGGTTGCAATGGGCTATAGTTAGGGGTGTACTTCAGAAATACTCCTCTCCCTCAAACAAGTTCCTGCATTGACTTTTGGAGTGAGTTCATTAACTTTAACCACAAATGGCAATATGGCATAAATTATTAATTTATAACATGATATTACTCACTGTTTCCAATTGGTGTTTTGGGCAGGGGGGTTTGGGGGTAGGGGGTAGGAACCATCAATTTTTCGATCAGGGCACCGTAGCCCTTGTTGTCATAAAATGGCAACAGTTTTTATTGTCAAAAGAACCGCAGTGTGTGTGTGTATATATATATATATGTGTGTGTGTGTATATACATATACATATATACATACGGGGAAGGTCTCCGTACACACCCTCCCCAGAGGCCCAGACCCTACTATTGTGGGACCCAACTGGGTTGTTGTGTTGTGTGTGTGACTGTGTGTGTGTACGTATGCAAATATCATAATACCAATTTGTTATAGTTTTGGTTTTGTATTAGTATGTAATTGGGAATCAATGAATCATACTCTGTAATAATCAATGATTGACGAAGACAGTAAAAATCAATGTGAACTTGTTTGGGGAATGGAGCTAGGGAGCACATAATGCTAGAATGCTTTTTAATTCACATTTTTTTTCAATTTCCAAATTCTCTCCATGTATCACCTGTTTATTTTCCACATTAGAACTATGTCATAAATTCCTGCTGTTGTAATCTTATTGCATCCATACCATCCATCCACTCTTTCTTTTTGTTGGCATACTTCCATGAGTGAGTTTTGATTTTTTTAAACATTTCAGCATCATCTGCAGAAGGCTACTCCCAAGTTTTTTTTAATTGTGTGGCCTGAGTACTAACCACCTGCCATTTTGAGCAGTCACCTTCAGGTGGTTCACTATGATATTCTTGAAAATTTTATGTGATAGGCTTCCGGTTTCAAATCCAAAAGTAGTTTTTCTCGAACCAGAATATCCAGTTTTTAGAGCCAAAACGGTTTATTTTCAATCAGAGAACAACTTCAGTATGCTATGTTTAATTTATGTTTCCATGCAAAATTCCACATGCACTTTTGTTATCGATATTTAAGTCAACAGACACTGATAAACCTCTAAAATGTGGCATGGATACTCGCTCCCAGAGGCTTTGATGATGAAATGCGAGCTGTAGTTGCAAGGAATTTAGAAGGCAGGGGAATCAATATGCATCCTTGCACAACATTGACTGAGGTACTTAAATGTTGTTCCACTGCAATATTGTCAAGTCTATTGATACTTATAACAGAAAGGGATGTGCATTACTTTATTTGAACTTTATATTACATCCATGTAAACCACTGACTGAGGTGGCTATTCAAGGTTGCAAGCTCTATAGATGCTCTTATCTATAGGGAGGGCTTAACTTGAACTTGTTAGAAAAGTTAATGCATGGATATAAACCTGTAGTCATTTAACTTTTCAAATGTTACCTACACAGCTACACTCATATCTTAGAAATATTTATGGGGTGTAATTTAGTTTCCATTTTTGTTTAGGAATCTCCAGAAGCCCAACATGTAATGGTTCATGGCTTTCCTATTATCTATCCACTAACTTTAGTATATAGATCTGTGATTATTGTTCTCTTAAGTCCTAACATGAATTCATGATTGATTACTGAATGGAAATGGTGGCTTGATTTAGCTAGTGAAAACAGAAAATGGCATCAGAGTACGTACAGACCATGGTGAAGATTTTCTGGCAGATGTTGTGCTGTTTGCGACTGGTAATTCTTGCCACTCTTAATGGAGATATGTTTACAATGTTGATATGTCTTAAGGGATTTGAGTCATGGAGGTCATAATCTTTTTCTGTACAAAACTTTGTTACCTACCGGAGTATGTTTTTGGACTCTAAATGGGCATTGGGGGATTCTTCATTCTCGGTGTACAATTTGGCAGAAGGAGCTTACTTGCTGATGTGTGGAAACATCCATCAAGAGTAGTCTTTTCCAAATTTAAGTTTCCAAGCTCGCAATATTAAGAAATATATGTTCATTCGGATACTAAATAAATCTGTTATTGTTCCATAATTTCCTTCGACTTATTGCAGCCAATTTTGGATGTTCTATTTTTTTTGTTAGTATAAGGTGTTGCAATTTCTTGATGTGCAGGGCGTGTACCTAACTCCAAAAGGTTGAATTTGGAAGCAGTTGGTGTTGAGCTTGATAAGACTGGAGCTGTGAAGGTAATTATACTCTACCCTGTCTTTTTTACTTGATTACTTCATTTTATACTTCCAATAGTTTACTTACTGCTTTGAATGGGAGGAATTGAAACATGGATCAATAAACGTGTACCCTCATAGAAATAATTAACTTCAGACACCTGATTATTGCAGTGAGGTTCCCTATTTGATTATGTGATCTAATTTGATTTATTTTCAGGTTGATGAGTTTTCTCGCACTAATATACCCAGCATATGGGCTATTGGTGATGTCACCAATAGGATGAACCTTACTCCTGTTGCTTTAATGGAAGGGACCTGTTTTGCGGTATATCTTTTCTTGGATATTCATTAGTATCGTTTTGTTTATACAATATACATTGTCTGACACCTTAATTACTTAATTACTGTTTTCTGAGAAGAATTGGCGTTCTTTTGCCTTCCTTGCAGAAAACGGCATTTGGTGGAGTGCCCACAAAACCTGACTATGCACATATTCCTTGTGCTGTATTCTGGTATTTAGATTTTCTACAATATTCTGCATTGGCCTACTTTTTACCTCATAAACTATTCTCCACTTCATAGTAATAAACCAGCTGCTCTAACCTTATATGTCATTTAGTAGAATGTATTGTTACAAGAGTTTGATTAGGGTAGGAAATTGGGAATTCCAAGCTCAAGAAGAACCATTGAGAAAGTGAGCCCAAAATCCCCAAATGATTGAAAACTTCAGAAGTTCAGAGAGAACTTTATGGTCTGGCCATCAGGGAATCAGGGGTTGTATTGGAAGAAGAGTACAACTAGAAACCTTCTTAAAACCAGCATGTCATTTTTTGGGGCTAATTTAATCTTATTTAATACTCCGTATGTACAAATGTACAATGTATCATTTTCCAACTAACACACCCAGCTAATTCCACAGACTTTACAAGAGCTCTCATATTGCTATTTGAATAGAAGAAGCTACTTTACATTTGGTTTAATGTATTTCTTAAAAAAAAAAAGTCCCAAACAAGCTAAACGTGTTAAAAATTTGCCAACCCCGACAATTAAATTTTAAAATATAGGGGTGGCAATTACGATTATAAAAATGCTACATGTACCCCACAGTTACACCAAAAACAAAATTTTAAATTAAACTCTTACACTGGTGAAACAATTTTTTTTTCCGGACAGAAGTAGTATCATATCAGAATGAACGATGTTATATCATTCTAAGTGCACATGTTGCCTGATTCCTCCAGTTCATCTATCCTTGCTTGCCTACCGTACAATAAAAAAGTGTGATTTAAATTCCTGTATTAGAATCATGCGTGCTACTAGTAATTACATTGCTCCTGAAAGCTTCACTTGTCTATTGTTTGGGTCAATTTCACCAAATTTCCGCTGAATACCAGTCCATAGTTACTATAAGTAAGGAAATGTACCTTATCAATGCTGAATACCAATGCATAATTACTATAACCATGATGTCAAGGCTTGTGACATGCATAATGATCTAATCTGGCTACACAAGTTCATAAGTCCTTAAATTCTCATAAACTTTAGAATTTTGCTAATTGTAATGACTATTTTTCTAATGTTGAAAAGTAGTTTGATCTATTTTTCTGTGGTGGACTAATATGGTTATTTGTCTTGAGTTTATGAATGATTTAATGTCATTTATTTTACTCCACAGCATACCCCCACTTTCAGTAGTGGGGCTTAGTGAAGAGGAAGCAATAGAGAAAGCGAATGGAGATACTGCAGTGTACACTTCGACATTCAACCCAATGAAAAACACCATCTCTGGGTATGGATTTTGATTTAAGGTGTTTTTATTATAAGCCCTTAATTAAACTGGTTCAATCTCTTTACTAGCATGCTCTCTTTTGTAATGGCTTTTGCACATGTCAAGTGGACTTTGAGTGAGCCTTTTGACTACAAAGATGTCATAGCATTTCCGTTTGCAGATTATTGAGATTGTAGCCAGAAATGGATATCAGTAATTTCCGTGAAACATACTCTATTAACAGACTTGTGTGGTCCTTTTATAATATTGACCTTACAATATTAAAACAAAACATTGAATACTCCTGTCCCGCAACAGGTTCCACATTGGTTCCAACATGGTTATTGGGAGGGACAAGTTGAGATTCATCCAGAGGAGAGAGAACCAATATAAGCCACACTATTCTTTCCTTAAAAGGAAATTAGGACCTTCTTTAAACATGCCATTAAGGAATTGTGGAAGTTTTTTTGTGGTACAGCTGGACGGGGCACGGGGGAGGGCATTATTAACATCTCTGAGGAAGAAACTGGAGGAGTGATGTGCGCTTGGTTGTAGGAGTTAGGGGTTTTAGGCCGTTTGGGGTAAGAAAGTGGGGGAGCTATGGACTCCTCGTATCTTCTCTTCAATTTGGGTGGGTCAAAGGAGTGTTTTTCCTTCATAATTATTTTTTGTTAAACCATATAAGTTGCTATGTTTGTCATTGCAACAAAATGCGTACCAAATAACGGAGTAATATTTTTTTACATATATTCCTAAAATGATAAGTAACATGAGTAATTCATCTACTCTTGCATGGAAACAAACATACTCCCTCCGTCCTATAATGATCTTCCCGGTTCGCAAAACGAAGAAAAATCCTAAGTTTTTTCAATCTATTTTATTTAAATATTGGTATAGAAATAAAAAATAAAACATACATATTTAAAGACTACATCAAAAATTCAATAAAACAAGTGGTGACAAGAATATTTTATTTTATCATATAGGCCATGAAAAAACACAAATAAATATAAATTCCCGTGAAGTTGGAGTAGTGCTTTGGGAAGATCATTATAGGACGGAGGGAGTAATATTCTTAAAACCATTCCATTTTCATCTCTCTCTCTCTCTCTCTCTCTATTTTTCCTTTGCTTCCCGCTTTTGAACCAAACACTGGGAAGTGTGCTTGATGCAAAGGGAAATTATTTTGACTAAAGAGATTGGATGATGCCCTTTAGATTGTCCTTTGCGTCTTTCTGTTTTTAATATTCCAGCTATCTAAATTAGTACACTAAAAAACCCCATTGTACGTTAATGACCGAGTTGATATATTTGAATCATCGAGCTTACATAATTGTAGATTCCATTCAGCTGTCACAAGACACAATCTCAATTCATAACATTTGTGTATATAGAATTAATAGAAGCCATGCAATTTTTTGATGTCTATCGGCTTGCCATATTTCAGTCACATGAAGTGATATTTTGATTGTTTTTTCTAACAGAAACAATTGGTTTGATCTCATAACATGTGTTTCATAACTTGTTAGGCGGCAAGAGAAGTCAGTTATGAAGCTTCTTGTTGACAAAGAGACTGATAAAGTTGTAGGAGCATCGATGTGTGGCCCTGATGCAGCTGAAATAATGCAGGTAATCTTCTGTGTTATCCATGCTGCATTTCTTTGAGTTGATTCCAAGTTTATCAGAACCGGGCCGGTCATCAGACCTATGGTTGATCTTATCAACCCGGGTTTGTCCGGTTTTGATAATGCTGGTCAATTGACTTGATTCTTCATATCGTGATTTGGGTGGAAGGTGAGCCGTGAAATTTTCAATCCATCCTTTTTAATCAGAAGCATTTAGAAGGGTTTGAGGTTGACCATTTTTGTACTCCATGTTTTAAATTTTCAGCCCCTCCACCTCCCTAAAATAACCAGACCTCAAACCATTTTAGAAAAAGTTTTTTATTTTCGTTTGGGGGGGGATTTTTACACTAGTGAGGATGCTGCAAGTGTATGTATTGTTGTTGCAGTAGAGTTTGTTTATGATTCAATCATTCTACAGGGAATTGCTGTTGCTATAAAGTGTGGTGCAACTAAGGCAGATTTTGATGCCACGGTGAGTTTGGATATCCCTGCTTTGTGTTACTCTTGTCTATGAACTTTATTAGATATTGCTAAATCTCATTAAGGTAGTGTTTGGGAACAAGCATTTCATTACATATAGATTTGCGATCAAGCTTTGTGAAAAATTAGAAGAATTTGCTTTAAATCCAAATCCGAATTTTTAAGATGACCAAACATGAAATTTGAGCAAAATCTGGATTTGAATTCCAATATACAGTTCCCAAACATGCCGTAAGGAATTTGAGGCATTCAACCAAATCGTCAGATTTATACCTGATTCATTCAGCTAATACGTCATACTCAGAAGTAGGGCCAGGAGACTTAAGATGTTTGCGGCCGCGCCCTTTCATCTACCCTAAAATTGTCTTACATTTCGTGCCTTTGGGCTTTGTCTATCAACAACAACAAACCCAATAAAACTCCACAAAAAGTAGGATCAATGAGGGTGTGTTTAGGCATAGTAGATAGACAGTTTCCAAGTCAAAATACCCAAAGTACATAAAATAAACACGCACAAGAATGCACACATATCGACGCTAGCGACTACCCAAAGTACTACTTCGTCCCATAAAACTTTTCAAAGACGAAAAAAAGTGCGCCTTAAAATGGGTAATTTTGATATTACTTTCTAATTATGAATCATCTATCATACACATCATATCCTATTTTATTACGGTGTATAAAGTAAGGGCAAAATTAGAAAATAATATCAAAATTAGACATTTTCAGGGTGCGTCGGTTCGTCTTTGAAAAGTTTTATGAGACGGAGAAAGTAGAAAACACATGCACAAGCATTTTGTGTGTATGTCTTCCTTAACATTTTCTTCTGTTTGGCAGGTGGGCATACACCCTTCTGCTGCAGAAGAGTTCGTGACGATGCGAACTGCGACAAGGATTCTCTCTCCTGCAAACAAACCAAAGACGAACCTATGAGGTGGGGAATAATATATAAACGAGGTTCACTATAAACGACGGGTTGTCAATGTTTTTTTAAAAAAATTACGCGGGGAAAATTACAGTTCGTTATTTGCTTGCAGTATTATCTGCAAACAGTTCTCACTTTTTCATAGTAAAACATGTTTTACTATCATATGAAATGAACAAAAAATCTGTCCAGGTTTGAGTTTTCAGATGATTTTGGTTGTATAATCCACAGACACAGTTGATAGATTTCATAATGGAGTAATAGTAATAATAATAATAATAATAATACAGATAATAATAATAATAATAATAGTAATGATGATGATGATGATGATAATAATAATAATAATAGTAATTAATGACATCCACTTAAGTAAGATATCCTTGTGATTTTGGTCGAACGTAACCCTAGACTCCTAATTTCTGTAAATGTTTAACCCGTATACTTGCAGTATTAGAGACAGAGGGTAATGAGGACTAAATTTAGAATGTTCATGTATTAAAAAATTACTTTTTAGAATTTTATTTTTGAGATTTTGTTTTTATTCTTTTATGGATTGAAACTGCTATTAGCAATAAAATAAAAAATATTTTTAAACAATAAAATGAGCATTGTGCAATAATGAATATTAATATTTTTTTAAACAATATAATTTCCATACACACAATGTTTCAAAAAAAAATGTGTATACTTGAATTGCATAATGTGCATGTTAATTAAAGTATTAGCGGGGATTCGGTGACACTGGATCTTAGTATCATCCGATTGCACAAGTTTAATTTGGAATAGATGCGATGTTCTGTTCGTAAAATTCAGTTTCTATTTCTGTAATTTTTCATAGCCTTTTTGCCGCCCCTTTCCATCCATGTAGATTAGTTATAGTGGCCGTGCGGGGAAAGAGGGAAGAGGAGATAAATGGGGATTGGGGTTTGCATGTAAGAACTATCCATTTTAGAAATGGATTACTATATGTTTCCAAAAAGGCATGACACTGTAGTGTCAATAGAACTGCTCTTAATATCAACAAAATTGTCGTCTTAGTGTACATGTAAATTAATAAATGTGGGAAATGAATATTGTTTACTCCATGGAGTAATAATTTTTAAATATGTAGGGTGTATATATATTTTAGATTTACTCCTTTTATCTTGAAATAAATGACATATTTTTCATATTTGGATGTTTAAAAATAAATGTCACTTTTCATCTGAGAAAAAAATGAGTGGTTGAATACATTTGAGGAATTTACCATCACTGGACATTATTTCTCTCACTAGATTTTACGGAGTATCAAGTACTACTTAGGAAATAAAAAATTTAAATCTTACATCGGGAAATGATTTATGTTTTAGTCGTATTTAGTGCAAATTTCGCATTATTTTTCTCTTCTCTGCACAAATTTTCTTCATATGATTTTAATTTTTTCTTAAACTCTCTTGAAAGTCAAATCAATTCAAGCTGTTTATTTTAAGACGGGGTAGTTTAATAAACATATAGGAACACCGGGAACTTATGAACACTGCCATGTGCGACGTTGAATAAAGAAAAATGCTAGAGTCTTAAATATAAAGCTCATAAAATATACTGACAACCTTACAATTTATGCACTTAATCAAGAAAGCAAAATAATTTTAAATAATTAAATAGTAGAAATTTAAATACAAAAATAAAAAAATTGTGTATTAAGTGACCATTGTGTTTCTGAGCTTAACATTTATCCTGAATAAAATAATACCCCATAAAATGCCAATATATACCATGCATCTTCATTGGTACAAAAAGAAAGAAAAATTGTCCATATCAACAATTCAACAAATAAGTTATTTTATAAAATAAAATAAGAAAAATATAAAAGAAAAGAAGAAGTGATTGGTCAATTGTGTTGCCCAGATGGAAACAATCTAAACTTGTCTTGTGAATCAATAATGGATACGTTTGGAGGCTTTCTCTTATCATTTTATCCCTTCCCAAATGTGCTATACAATAATATACACACCCTCACACACATATATAGTCTCTCCGTCCCACTAAGATTTACTCTTTTTACTATTCAAAATTCACGAGAAATTGTACTCCCTACGTCCCGTCTATTTTGGTTTACGATGTTTGATTGAAGTTGTTTTCTAATCATTTTATATAAAAAATGGTGATGGTGTAAATTATTTGACCGGTCAAACTATACTAGACCGGGTCTAGAATAGTTCGCTTGATTTGGCAAAGTAAGAAAGGTAAAAACACGCAAATTGACCGGTAGGATTTTAGGTGGAACACCTGTAACCCAATTTATATTATAACGGAGAATGCACGGGTGCTTTTACAAGGGAGTTTAGAGAGAATGAATTCGGATCCCTTTTTCTGAGGTTTACACGAGTATTTATACTAGGCTAAGGGGACAGGACCACGTGCGCCCACGTGGGGGCATGCTGCCGATGTGGTGCGAGGTGACTGGTTTCGTCCTCAAGCTGCCTTGTCGCCTTGTGAAGGGGATCATTCCCTTTGTCAAGTAGCGCCTTGGATGGATTCTTCAGCATCTCCAGTTGTCCTCTACTGACACGGGTCGCTACACGCCAACCCCTCGCAGATCCTCTCCTGCCGACACTTTCCAACCCCAGAAACTACACCGGGTAATCTCCGAGGGATGAATTTATCGAAGTCTGGAACAAATGGGATGACAACATAGTTTGACCGGTATACTTTTTGTGAAGTGTACCGGTCAAATTTTGGCCGATGATATATCGTTTTGCTGACGATTAAAGTCTCCCTTCCAAAACTTTCGAGATTGACCGGTCAAAGATTTGGCCTTCTCCTTTGACCGGTCTTGGGTGAAATACACTCATCAAATGGTATAAAATCTGAAAATAAAAAGTTACATATTAAAAAAGTACATCAAAAGATCTACAAAACTAGTGTTGACATGATTATATTATTTTATCAAATAACTAACAAAAATAAAGAAAGAAAGTGAATGGAGTTTGACTATGTAAATAGTGAACAGACAATTTAATTTGGAATAGAGAGAGTAAAATATTCTTATCACCTGGTATTTTGTTGATTGTTTATGTATTTTTTTAAATATACAAGTTTTTTTCTTTTTATATAAATCTTTAAATAAAACCAATTGAAAATACTTAAAATTTTATTTCATTTTACATAAAGTGTTATATATATATATATATATATATATATATATATATATATATATATATACACACACACACACACACACATGCACTCTTCCCCATGAAACCCAACATACCTTTTGACTGGCTATGAACATTATAGAAGAGCTGGAGAGATATCTATAATTCTACATGCCCCAGGCTAATTGATATTTATATACTCCCTCCATCCCTAAATATTTGACACATTTGTATTCCCGAGGTAAAATATCAAGTTTTTTCAATTCATTTTATTTACATATTAGTATAGAAATAAAAAATAAAATTTACATATCAAAAAACTACATGAAAAGTTCTTCGAAATAAGAAGTGTCAAGAATATTTTATTTTATCAAATAACCAATGAAAATGTAGAAATAAACAAAAGTTCCCACGACTGCTAAAAAAGCAAATGTTGTGAATATTTTGGGACGGTGGGAGTATATATTTGAAAAAAACCCCTAAAGCACACACTCCTAAACTTCATGGCTTAATTTTTTTGACGGTCTATTTGGTACATGAAATTAATAGAATTGAAATCAAATTAGGATTAATAGAATTGAAATCAAATTAGGAGCTGAATATCTATAAAATTGATTTCTCCACTTCCAATTCATTTTTGGCACTACAAATTTCAAATTAACATATTTTTGTGCTACAAAATAGCAAAATTTAAATGATTGTCCTCAATTTCAATTTTATAGTATGAATTCTGTGTATTGAGCCTGACTAAAATTGAGAAAATTTAGCGAGGGTTAGTACAAAGAACATATTGAATTGCATTATGATTATATTTAACATTATTGTTAATAGATTTGTTTTAAAGAATACTTTTAAAATATACTCGGTCCTTTTCTTAAGTTACTCCGTATTATTCTCTTTTGAATAATGTATTAAATCTTATTTTGTTTAAAATTATTTTATATATACACAAATTAGTTTATAAATTAAATACAAAACATATATGTTGAAATGGTACGTCAAAATTTCTATGAAATAATTGATGATGTATCTATTTTATTTTATCAAACGGTCAATAATAATGCATACGCACGCAAAAATATTTATAGAAAACTTCAAATAAATAAGGTTAGACATTTTTTAAACTCTATTAATTCCGACCAACAATTTATTTTGGGGGAAATAGGGAGTGTGTGTGTGTATATGTGTGTGTGTCTATATATATATATATATATATATATATATATATATATATATATATATATATATATATATATATATATATATATATATATATATGATGTCCTGGCTAGAAAAGATAAAAGTAATTTTTTTCTCATGGCAAACTCATCACCACAAACTCACCAACCTTTTCCTCTCTTTCTACTCTTTGGGTTGGCACTATATTTCGGTCACCAAGATTCCACCGCGAAACTGCATGGTGCTGTCACCACCACCACCACCACCACTCTTGCAGCCGCCACCGCAGACGACGGCGGCGCCACCATTGCCACGGGAAAAGTACAAGTCACGTATGCTGCAGGCTGGGCCTTTCGAGCGTCTGCCCATCAGGTTCCAAGCGGCCCAAATCCAGAGCAGAACAAGTAAATCAAGACAGTTTTTTTCTTCTTGTTTTTTTTTTGGGAACGCAAAATCAGAATCTTATTGGTAAATTAATCCATGACCCAAATATTCCTTCGTTCCCAAATTATTTTTCTTGATTTTTTTAGGCACAAATTTAAAGAAAAATGAAATCGAGTTGTTGAAAGTGACGCAGATGATAGAGAATTATGGTGAGCCAAAAAGTATGGAATATGATTAATAATTATTATTGTTATTATTATTATTATTATTATTATTATTATTTTGAGTGATTATTGTTATTTTTATTACTCCGTATTATTGTTATTATTATTATTGTTATTATTACTATCTCCATGAGCGCAAACATTTTGAGTCATGTGGTTGTGGGTCTAGAAAAAGTTTTAAATTCTAAAATATATTCAGATTTATTGTTCATTTTCTAAAACACCTCACATTCAATACAAAATAAGTTTTGCATTCAGTTCATTAGTGTGAACAATGTTAATTAACATGATATTTAGATGACATTTTAGATAATTCATCACCTTCTATTAACCAAATATAAAAATGATGATTAATTTTGGAAGCACACAAAATTAAATCACATGAAAGTGTTTTTATCAAACAAGACCGAAATTGCATTTAAAAAAAACAAGACAGAAAATTATTAATAGTCAAATTAGTTCGTTGATGTGAATCAAATTTACAAGAGAGTCTATCCATATTTATTTTACACTTTCACACAAATTGTATTTGTCGCATACAAAGAAATAAATATTATTTATACCACAAATAGATTTTATTTTGGAAATTTACCTAAACAGTACTGAATATAGTGACTTTTTCAAAGTAGTACTATATGTTTTTATTTCTCAATATAATATCACTGTTCAAGTAAATGTCTAACGTCACTAGACATTGTTTGAACTAAATATCTACCATCACTAGATATTGTTTCCGACACTAGATATTGTTTAAGTATTATTTAGAGAATTAAAAAATTTAATTACTATATTGAATACTCCGTAGGTTTTAGTACGAACAAATTTCACATTCTATTTGTGAATTGAAAAATAAATGAGTGGTGTAAATTTAGTCTACTTTAGCTTGATGCTTATTGGTAATTTAGCACTTGAGTTTTCACTCGTGTTTTTCAATATTCCAAAAATAAAAATTACATCGATAATGAGAAATATACGACCTATTGTTGAAACAATAGACTTGGGCTCAATTCAACCCCAAAAGTTAATTTAAGAGCTTGATGTACCCAAGCTATTAAATAGTAGCACAATATAAGGCTGTATAGCCGATGTGTGATGAACAAGTCAACACCTATAAGCGCTTCTTTGGTGCACCTTAGGTGCATATCAATTTTGTAGACCTTCTCACATAAAATATTTTAATTTTTTATTAAAACACTAAAAACTCATTAAAATAATAAATAAATATTTATTTTGTTCATATGTAAATATATGGTGGATCTTAGGTCCACCATAGAATTTACCATGACCTATTACAATCTATTTGTGTCATCACCAAAACTTACGGAGTAAATAATATTTTCCCAGCACCAACTGTGGATCCACAAACATTTTAACAGCGTTTAATTGGATGATAAATAGATATGGCAAAAAACTGTTTTTGACTCGAGACCCGACCTAAAAATACCGAGTTTTGAATAAAGGTTTTGCCAACCGAACCCGGAGTTGACCGAACTCGAAATTACCCGTTAAAAATGGGTCAAATCCGATCGAACCCGAACTGACTGACCTGCTAATATAAGAATTTTTCAAAAAACATATGCTTTAATATGTAATACAACTTTAAAAAAATAAGATTTCAAGTATATTGTTTTTGCTTACTACTCATTCCTAGTGTACAATTTTATATTTTCATACAAAATTTTAATGACATCACATAATTATCTTACTTTTTTTCCAAAGCTTTCTGCATATTTAGTTTTTTTATTCATAACATTGACAATCGATCATAAAAATTACTTAAAATTTTAAAAAATAAATGAAAGTCATAACTGAACTTCTCCCATGGCTTGAGTGGTAGCAAGCCCACTCCCCAGGATTCATGGGGAAGTTCACCCAGGTTCGAGCCCCAGCGAATACAGCAGCATTGGTTCTTTGTGTGTCATTAGCTTGAGAATAGTATGAACAGATACTACCTTGTAATAGAGTCAATAGCATTCAAAAAAAATGAAAGTCATAACTCGCTGGGTCGACACGAACCCGATGATATTGGGTCATGAACATGTAGCCCTCAACCCGAGCCCAACATACCCGAATCCGAAGTAACTTGAACCTAAGATGATTGAACTCGAACTCGACCTGACCGACCGTTTTGCCAGCTCTAATGATAAATATTAGGGAGTGTAAATTCCATATATAATTAGTTTTTTAAAACAAGGGTTTTCCATACTCTTTCATCAAATATTATACTCCATCAGTCCCATAAAACCTTTCTCCTTTCTTTTTTTATCCGTCCCACAAAACACTTCTCATTTCTATTAAAAAGTCACTTTTACCCCTTACTTTTTCATACCCTAACTATCACATCATACCCTTTTACTAATAATCTATCCATCAAATCATATTTTTACCCATCACATCAAAGGACATGTTTGAAAATTCAATACTAAAATACACTCCCCTTAAATCCCTCCTAAAAAGCAAAACTCTCATGTTTCACGGGACGGAGGGAGTATATATATATAGTTCTTCTTTTAAGTATCTTTTCACAAATAACCATTTTTAATCTTTTGTCATGTTAATGTTAATTTAATGACTAAAAGTATAATTTCACAATAATCATATATCTTTTTTGTCATATACAATTCCAAAAGTCGCTCCTGATGCACCGTTTGAGAATCACAGTCGATGTATACTACAATAGTAGTTTATCGTCACAATCTTGGTCCATAATCATAGTCATTATTGTTGCATTGTTCATTTAACCGACATCAGAGTACGTCACTGGTAATAGGGTTGCGGTCAAATTACATTTTTACTCTATAAATTAACACTAACATGATATAATGTTAAAAAAATGATTATTTGTGAAAAGGGTACTCATAAAAGAAGAATTATGAATGTAACATTTGGTAATAGAAAACTAAATATGGAAAACTCTCTATTATAAAGGACCAATTATAGAATTACTCTATTAGGAATAATATAATACTCCCTCCGTCCGGGAAAAACCTTCCCGTTTAGACTTTTTCTCATTTTTTTGGATGGTTGACTTATGAGGTGAAATGACAAAAATGCCCTTATTAAAAAAACTGGTAAAGGAAAGAGTGTGATGACTGAATGGAAAGCTGCAATAGTGGAAATCACTGTTTACATCACGGGGGAAGGGATATGGGTTCCATATATCACATCAAATTTTACAAAAGTAATCATTGACCAAAAATTTTACATTTCCCTCCTGGTTTTTTAGCTACCCGCCCAAATACAAGAGAAAATTTTCATTCAAATACATTCCAGCAGCATTTAAAGCTCCCTGGACCTTCCCTTTTTGGCATCTCCTTCATTCACCTTTCTTCTTTTCCAGGTTCCTTTCTTTCTTCTTTTTCCTTTTCTTGTCCACACTTCCTGGATCCCTGCAAAGAGAATGAATAATGTTCATATAAATACGAAAAAATTGGATAACGCAACTCGACAGCGTATCAGTGATGCGCTACTAACACATTCAAAGCAAAAATCAGACGGTTCATACTCAGCTCAGAGAGGGCAGATCAACAACCTCGCTGCACAATTTAATGTTTCTAGAAAAATAGTGAGTACCATATGGGCCATTGCAAAGAAACAACTAGAGCAGGGGGTTGCCATCAATGTGAGAAGTCGGTTTATAGCAAATAGTGGCAGGAAAAGGATAGTGATGGATGCACAAGCAATTGCAGAGACTCCCCTGCGGAACATGACTACTATAAAGAGTTTAGCAGCTGCCATTGGTAAGCCGAAGTCCACCGTTCATGAGTGGATAAAAAAAGGTATGCTTAGGAGCCATTCTAATGCTATCAAACCGTACCTAACCGATGCCAACAAAGTGGCAAGGTTGAGGTTCTGTTTGAATCAAGTTGAACGAGACAGTATGCCCCTCCAGCCTCGGTTTAACAGTTTTCACAATGTTTTACACATTGATGAGAAATGGTTCTTTATGTCCAAAACATCACAAAGGTTTTACCTGCTACCTGATGAGGTAGACCCATACAGAACATGTAAATCAAAGAGGTTCATAACAAAGGTCATGTTCTTGTGTGTGGTTGGAAGACCACTAATTACTGATGATGGAGAAGTGTTATGGGATGACAAAGTTGGCATCTTCCATTTCAGTGAATTAGTGAAAGCAAAAAAAAAAGAAAGAACAGGGACAAAGGAGTTGTGGAGGTGAAACCCATCACCACTGTTACCAAACAAGTGACAAAAGACATGTTAATCAACAAAGTGATTCCAGCTATCCAAAAAAAGTGGCCTGCACAATTATCTAAAGACATACACATCCAACAAGATAATGCAAGGCTACACATTCAAGGACTAGACTCAGACTTTGTTGCTGCAGGTAACAGCAATGGTTTTCACATCAGCCTAGGTAATCAACCCCCCAACTCCCCGGACTTAAATGTACTGGACCTTGGTTTTTTCAGAGCCATCCAGTCTCTAAAAGAGAAGTGTGCTCCAACCAGTGTGGGACAGTTGTTAGAGGCTGTGGAGGGAGCCTACAATGCTTTAACTCCAGAAACTCTAAATAAGGTATGGTTGACTTACCAGCAAGTGTTAACTAAAGTAATGGAGAATGAATGAGGCAACAACTACAGATTGCCACATATGGGGAAAGACAGAATGGCCAGGGCAGGGGGTTGCCATCAATGTGAGAAGTCGGTTTATAGCAAATAGTGGCAGGAAAAGGATAGTGATGGATGCACAAGCAATTGCAGAGACTCCCCTGCGGAACATGACTACTATAAAGAGTTTAGCAGCTGCCATTGGTAAGCCGAAGTCCACCGTTCATGAGTGGATAAAAAAAGGTATGCTTAGGAGCCATTCTAATGCTATCAAACCGTACCTAACCGATGCCAACAAAGTGGCAAGGTTGAGGTTCTGTTTGAATCAAGTTGAACGAGACAGTATGCCCCTCCAGCCTCGGTTTAACAGTTTTCACAATGTTTTACACATTGATGAGAAATGGTTCTTTATGTCCAAAACATCACAAAGGTTTTACCTGCTACCTGATGAGGTAGACCCATACAGAACATGTAAATCAAAGAGGTTCATAACAAAGGTCATGTTCTTGTGTGTGGTTGGAAGACCACTAATTACTGATGATGGAGAAGTGTTATGGGATGGCAAAGTTGGCATCTTCCATTTCAGTGAATTAGTGAAAGCAAAAAAAAGAGCAAGAACAGGGACAAAGGAGTTGTGGAGGTGAAACCCATCACCACTGTTACCAAACAAGTGACAAAAGACATGTTAATCAACAAAGTGATTCCAGCTATCCAAAAAAAGTGGCCTGCACAATTATCTAAAGACATACACATCCAACAAGATAATGCAAGGCTACACATTCAAGGACTAGACTCAGACTTTGTTGCTGCAGGTAACAGCAATGGTTTTCACATCAGCCTAGGTAATCAACCCCCCAACTCCCCGGACTTAAATGTACTGGACCTTGGTTTTTTCAGAGCCATCCAGTCTCTAAAAGAGAAGTGTGCTCCAACCAGTGTGGGACAGTTGTTAGAGGCTGTGGAGGGAGCCTACAATGCTTTAACTCCAGAAACTCTAAATAAGGTATGGTTGACTTACCAGCAAGTGTTAACTAAAGTAATGGAGAATGAATGAGGCAACAACTACAGATTGCCACATATGGGGAAAGACAGAATGGCCAGGGCAGGGACACTACCTAATTGCTTGAACATTGATCCAGATTTAATTCAAAAGACATGTAGACTGCTTGACCAACAGAATGAGAGTACACATGAAGATATGGTTCAGTTCAATACTGAAGAGGGCCAGGAGTAGCTATCTTCAGAGCTGAACTGAATCCAGGTTTATATTCATGCAGTTTTTGGGTTTTGTTTTGTTTAAGTGCAATGGCAGTGAATGTGGGTTTTTTGAAGTGGTTACCACATTCACTTTGTTTGCCTTTAGCTTGTTGGTAGTGGTAGTTTTTGGCTTTTGATTTTTGAATTTTGGATTTTGCACCATGTAACCACCTGCCATAAGGTATGTATGTACTCATATTAAGGCAACTACACACTAACTGCTCTATATTGAATAAAATGCAACAGCCAACATATGTTTATGATAAGTAAGCCCACTTCATCATTGCTGATGCTACTCAGAAACATCCCCTTAAGGGTATGATGCTCATCATAGTAGGTTATTTTTCTCAGACAGTGCAAACATTGCAGTCATCACAGAAGTTGGCCTCAGACAGTTCAAAAATCCCCTTGAGTTATAACAGCTTGAGCACTCAGAAACATCCTCTTGAGTTAAAATGTTCATCACAGTAGCTACATTATTCTCAGACTATGCAGAATAGAATGCAGTCATCATAGACATCTTATCCAACAAAATTCATACAGGTAGCATTCACATAACAGTAACATACAGTTCACATAAGAAATTTTAATTATCACAGCAATGTATCAACAAAGTTTATAGTGGCAGAAATTTAATTGATACTCCAGGCAAGAAAATTGTAAAGTGAAAGTAGGTGAAAGTCACTCCCCTACTTGTACGTTGAAGCCCAAAATGTTGGATCTGGAGTAGGTAGTAAAATGTTAAGCATATCTATGTGGAGGTGCATGTGTGAGCAGATCACCGGAGAAGTCTCAATCCCAATGATTTCAGACCCAAAGGAATCATCGGTGTCACTGTCTCCCAGGAACGCAACCTCATCGCTACCAAGATCAAAAACATCATCCGTATCTGAGGTAAGGTCGATTACCTCCTTCTCTCTGACCGGGGCAACAACCGTACCATCATCGTCGCTGTCGATGACGATGACGATGTTCTCCTCCTTGTCATCAGAGATAATATCGCCGGCAATCACCTCAAAATCTTCGCCTCCCTCATCTTCAAATTCCGTTTCAGGAACATAGGATTCGTAAAATAACTCATACGATTCCTCTGATGGAGTAGATGAAGAGTTCATGCACATGAAAGAGATGTAGATCTAGGGAGAGAGGAATGATTTTCGAAGAGAGGAAGAAGATAAGATTCAGAATTGAGTGAATGGGTATGCGTGGGTGGGGATGTGGGGGGTTAGAGAAAGGGAGAGAGAGAGAGAGAGAGAGTAAATGTAATGCGTGCAGGGTGGGTGGGTAAGTGGGATGGGTGGAGGGAGTAATTGAGAATTTAATGATAAGGGTATTTTTGGAAGGATTGGGATTAAAAATTGAAATGGGAAGATTTTTTTCGGACGGGGAAAAAGGAGAAACGGGAAGATTTTTTCCGAACGGAGGGAGTAGGAACAATAGAAAATAAAATATTATTTAATTCATCCCATAAAACGTTTCCTATTGGAAAAAGGCAGGTTTTAAAAAAGTATAATTTTAGTGTTAAATTTTATTTTCTAATTTTCTATCGTGAACACATCATATCTAACTCTATTACTCCACCCCTCTCTAATTTTTTTAGTGTTAAATTTTATTTTCTAATTTTTTTTAACATTTAAAATATCACAACTACACTACCCTCACTTCATTTATTATACCCCACCCACCTCATTTAATATACTCCACCCACTTTCATTAACACTATTTTAATAAGCTTTCACCTTTTTTCAATTCTCATTAAAAATTCTAAAAAATCAACTTTAGAAAATCTATGATAGACGGGGGATATAATTTAAGGAGAAATTAGATAATAACATCAAAATTACACATTTTTAAGTTACCTTTTTCAAAAAAGAAATGTATCCCGAGATGGAAAAAATATTATTATTTACTTGCCTTATTCTATTGTTAATATATTTCTTATTCTACTTTGATAAAGATTTTCCACATATTCTTTTTATATTCATGTAACTTTCATTTTTCAATAAGAATAATTATATTCAAGTTGTATAAATAAGAAAAAGGGGAGGAAGGAAAATTAAAAATCACCCTAAATAGGACTAACACATAGAGAAAAGTATCAAAATAGAACTTTCATGTTTTTTTTCTCAAAATAGGACTTTGCACTGTAGTAATGTGACAATGTACATGTGCATATTATTATACTTTTTGGTAATGTACATGACCATGTTTGCTAATGTAAATACATTTTAAGTTCTATTTTGGGAATAAAAACATGAAATGAAGTCCTATTTTGATATATTTTCAATATTTTAGTCCTATCGGCCTTTTTCCCGAAGAAACTTGAAGGTGAGGAAACAAGCATTTTTACCATTTGGTTGGGATAGAAAATCAGGGGGATCCCATCTAAAAAATTTTCTCAAGTATTTTGGTGATAAAAGCTCATTTTAACATCAAATTTCTTTTTCTTTCACCTTTTTTGTCAATAATTTCAAATTTTTATCAATTCAAATACAAAATTTTTCTATTCATTTTATTATTATTATTTTATCTTCCCATTCAAACAAACGATAAAGAAAAGATACTAGAAATTGGGTTAAGTTGATTGAAGTTGATGAAGCCCCACGGCTTCAAACTGAGGTTTCAAACCTTTATTTTTTAAATACACATCTTTAAAAGTTAATTTAAGTAAAACTTCATTTTAATTAAATTTAAATGCTAATAATTTATTAAATTTAAAAAGTTACATTCAATAAAAAAGGAGAGAGGTACGTGAATAATTTTTATTAACAAAGATGAGAGAGATATTTCTACTTGTGTGTTTTGAATTCTTAAGAAATAGATTGAATTTATAAAGGGAGGAGAAGATTTTAAAAAAACCCCAACGGCATTTAGCGGTTATGTGGTGTTGGGGGGGAGGGGGTCCAACGGCCGAAACAAGCTTCCAACGTGTTTCAAAGTTTTGACGCAGAAAAGATGACGGTGGGATAACGGGAATGTTAAAGTGAAATCTGTACTGAATAGGACTAAAACATAAGTTATTTCCCAGTGTAGGACTTAAATTTTTTTATTCCTTAAATAGGTTTTAATAATGACTAGTGGGAAGAATAATGTACAAATGATGTTAGATATTTAGTTGAATAATGACTAATAGATAATGACCAATGATCCTACATTGGGAAATAAAAACATATGGTTCTATTTTGAGAAAGCTATTATGTTTTACTCATATTTAAATAAATTACCCAACGTTAAAATAAAAAAAACACCCTAGAGGTTATGGATATTACCAATGCTCTTACATAGATAGGAAGTGTATAGGATGCAAAAATAAACATAGGAAATATAGTGACATATGGAGCTGCTCTGTTAATAAATATGGATATGAATTTTTACAACAATAATAATGACCACCGGTACCAATAATACATCATTTCATCTCGGATTAATAATTAAGTACCAGTTTAATTTCTTAATTAATCATTTTAATCAAGAAGATACACAATATTTTTGGCTTGGCCTAAAGAATTGCTCAACTTTAATTAATTTAGAGTTTGAACACACAAAATATGACAATATGAGGGGTTGCATGGCCGCCGCCGGAGATTTGATGATCGATCAATGTCCGCCTCCCAATCCACCGCCTGCACCACCACCAAACCCACCTCCTCCCCCGAATCCTCCGCCTCCTCCGCCACCAAAACCTCCACCGCCTCCGAATCCACCGCCTGCCCCGGCTC